GGTCAATTAACACCTAAAGGGCATACGGAGGAGAAAAGCACTTACTTCATGATAAGTATGTAGAATGAATACATAATGATGAGTACAAGGCTTTCCCACCTCAAAGAGACAAAAAAAAAAAGTGTTAAGAGGCCATTCCAACAGCCGTATGCTTTGTCAGTTTTATGTAGGAGTTTGCATTAAATATCCAGTACAAGTCACATTTGTGTACACAGGATTCACATCACTAAGATTAGATGGTGTCTCAGCAGAATGGGGGGCAAGCAGACTCTCAAGTTCCAATAAACATGCAAATTAAATGTAATGCACATATTTCAGAGATGTGTTACACAGATGGAAACCATAGCTACCCTCTGAAAATCAAAATCACAAGGCTTTTTGTAATTTCAGTGCTGAAGCACAGGCCAGGCACTCTGAGAGGACTCTTTGGAAGATACTTAGGATCTTTCACTGGGATCCCACCTTGGTCTGTTCTTTGGGACACCTAGCACCCCTATAAATGTTAACAGCCAGAATCAAAGTAGCAGGTAGTAGGTTACCCTTTCTGCATGAGTCTTCAGGCCTTAGATACAGCCTATTTACTTAATGTTTTCAGGCTCTTAAATTTTCTTTTAATTTTTTATCATAAAAGATATAATCACAGAAAACACGTAGGATTTCCTAGGTGTCAAATCCAGTTAATGTTTCCACCGTGTATGAATGAAAGCTAATTACACTGCAACTCTATTTACTGATCAGTCTCATGGCAAATACAAGATCACAGGGAGTAATTTACACAACTTACCATTCTATTTTCTCATCATATATGAACTAGAAGAAGGACAAAAAAAAAAAAAAAAAGGCAATATATAAATTGACCATTTCTCTGATCTATCTTGAAAGATAGTCACACTTCTTTAATAAATATCAGTCACATCTAGCCAGAAGCTACTTGAGTTTCAACCCTGTCTAACCAGAACTTCCATTGCATAGATTGTGTCCCTCACAAAGCACAAACCTTGTGAACAAGGCCTGGATCCCTCTCAGGGATTGTTATAAATACTATTTAGTAGAACAGTGTGAGCATGTGAAACAGACAGATACACACGTACCCTTGTGCTGTGTGGTGTAAATGACAGCAAAGTCATGTATTCTGGAGACCTAACTCTCAGTCATTTCAGACTAGTTTTAGCAGAAAAGGCAGGCATTTTACTTCTGCTCTTAGGCCAAGTGGTTATACACATTTTAATCCATCCTATGTAACTCCTGAAACCTAATGGGCAGCTGCTGCTGATCTATCTTTATTACAAAACAAACAATTTGGATTCTTCCCCTCCCTTCCCATCAGATACAGTAGACTGTACAGGCTGTAGGTACAAAATGAATGGACACTGATGAACATGATGGACACATATTCTGTGGGGCTGTATGAAGTTTTCATATTTGGAACATACTGTGGAGCTGAACCCTCACTTTCAGATGTCACTAGAACTAGCTAAGAAAGTAACTGTTTATCAGTGTATATTAGTGGTTAGCAGGCTGGTTCTCCCAAAATTCAAGCAATGAAACATGTTAATTTGTAAGGGAATTACTTACAACAATAAGTACAACCACAGAAAATGTGTAGTACACAGAGTCTCGGAACACAGCCCACTGGGTGAGACGAACCACCTGAAAAATACCACAGCTTCAGCCAACAAAAAAAAGGTTATTTTTAAGGGAAAAAAAAGGTCTCTATCTTGCAATCACTTAGATGTGTGAGCAGAAGTATTATTAGCAACTATTCTGGAACCAAATGCAGCTTTATGCTAACAGGAAGACATATCAGTCTGTTAAACAACTGATCTATAATAACCACCAGTATTAAAAATCATATAGAAACTTCCATTAATTAAATAAATTTCTTACTAATGATATTTTAATTGGTCATAATTTCAATTGTAAAGTACGACTCATTTTACTGCATCAAATCAGCTATTCCCACTTCATTATATTTGTGGATATATCAGACTTGATACATTAAAAAATATGACATACAGTATAACCATCTAATGAGTAGATGGAGCAAATCCCATGCTTGTGTCCTAGATTCTTTGATCACTGTCAGTACCAGAAAGGATTAGCAGACACTACTGATCAGTTGACTGTGAACACATTATTGTATGAAGAATAGTTTCCTTTGTATGCTTTATGTTCAGAGTGCCAAAACTGTAGCTGAATTTTTGGAAACATTTGCTATTTGTAAATAATTTGCAATTTTTTTCCAGCACATTTTTCTAAATGCCAGCTTATTTTTGCTTTTAGCTTCCCTCTTCCCTCCCTCCCCCTGATGGAAACCCCTAAATTGTGTGCAATGGAACTCCATAAATATAAGTATCTTACTGACCTGTCCTGCAAACAATCCACAGACACCAACAATGCAGAGGATGTTGAAAACTGTTTTTCTGAACCAACAATAGTTCCTACTCCTACATCTCCATGAGTGATAAATACACCTGCAAAGGGAGAAAAACATGCATTATTACCTCTGTCATTTACTTTTAAGTCACAGGCAACTACTTAAACTACTTAACACATGTACTACCTGACAACATGACATTGTTTGAAAGTTTAACCAAAACTTGTTTCATAATAAATGCTCAATTCTCTGTGCAATATTTTGTGTTTTAGTCTAATTAGCAGCTCCTCATTTTGGGCTTAACATCTCTCTCTATATATATATTTATACATATATATATATATATTTAAAAGAGAATTACCTCTTAGCTAGTTAGTTCAACGGTAAGTTCTGTATTTCACAGCTTGGTTGTTAGTGGTGCAGTAATTCATTCAAACAAATAGAAAAGACCTCCAAGCACATCAGGAGCATGGAATTTATTTCAAACAGTATAATAAAGGACAGAAAACTTTCTTCCTTACAATGTCTCATGAAAAATAAGATTCTTCCCTCAAAAAACTGGTAGCCACCTGAGGTGCAGTAACGTGTGCCCTCTGACTTGAACAGAAAACTGGATTCACACTTAACATGTTCTAGGATCAATTTTCAGATTTCCCTTAGCACTGAGCCCACCTGTGACTCAGATACCTGTCTGTAACATAACTGTATCAAAATTACAAAAATCAGTGGCTGGAGTGGCTCTGCAGGGATTATCTAATGTAATCTTCAGCACTGAGACAGAACCAAAGCTGACATGAATGCACTACAGAGCTGTGTCTACTTGTACTTTAAATCTTTTGCTAAAAGGGAGCCCTGAGGGCTTACACCCCTGGCTTTTTAATAAGTTGGACATGAGGTTAATGCACATTCCTTTAGACTGTATTTCCCTAAAGTTTGTAAAAATGTCAGTCAAGACAGTAGCAGAAAGCCTACTAAGGCTTTACTAAAGATGGATTTATCAAGTTTGCTGCTTTCCCCTTCTCTATCAGTGTAATCCTGTGTCCTTCTTTCCCTTAACAGGCACTGCTTTTGCCCTTTAGACCTCCTCTCTCTACCAATAATGTTTAATATTTAAGAGATAATTTCAAATAATTCTGTAAGCAATATACACGATGCCATGCCTATAATACCTCTGCCTTACCTATACATTAATTTCTTTTCTTATGTTCCTTGCTTTTCTACTTCCTTGCTAAAATTAATTCATAGAATCATAGAATCTTAGGGGCTGGAAGGGACCTCGAGAGATCATCTAGTCCAGCCCCCCTGCCAGAGCAGGGTCACCTAGGGTACCTCACACAGGAACTCATCCAGGTGGGTTTTGAATGTCTCCAGTGAGGGAGACTCCACAACCTCCCTGGGCAGTCTGTTATTTATACATATATATATATATATATATTTAAATCAGAATTACCTCTTAGCTAGTTAGTTCAACGGTAAGTTCTGTATTTCACAGCTTGGTTGTTAGTGGTGCAGTAATTCATTCAAACAAATAGAAAAGACCTCCAAGCACATCAGGAGCATGGAATTTATTTCAAACAGTATAATAAAGGACAGAAAACTTTCTTCCTTGCAATGTCTCATGAAAAATAAGATTCTTCCCTCAAAAAACTGGTAGCCACCTGAGGTGCAGTAACGTGTGCCCTCTGACTTGAACAGAAAACTGGATTCACACTTAACATGTTCTAGGATCAATTTTCAGATTTCCCTTAGCACTGAGCCCACCTGTGACTCAGATACCTGTCTGTAACATAACTGTATCAAAATTACAAAAATCAGTGGCTGGAGTGGCTCTGCAGGGATTATCTAATGTAATCTTCAGCACTGAGACAGAACCAAAGCTGACATGAATGCACTACAGAGCTGTGTCTACTTGTACTTTAAATCTTTTGCTAAAAGGGAGCCCTGAGGGCTTACACCCCTGGCTTTTTAATAAGTTGGACATGAGGTTAATGCACATTCCTTTAGACTGTATTTCCCTAAAGTTTGTAAAAATGTCAGTCAAGACAGTAGCAGAAAGCCTACTAAGGCTTTACTAAAGATGGATTTATCAAGTTTGCTGCTTTCCCCTTCTCTATCAGTGTAATCCTGTGTCCTTCTTTCCCTTAACAGGCACTGCTTTTGCCCTTTAGACCTCCTCTCTCTACCAATAATGTTTAATATTTAAGAGATAATTTCAAATAATTCTGTAAGCAATATACACGATGCCATGCCTATAATACCTCTGCCTTACCTATACATTAATTTCTTTTCTTATGTTCCTTGCTTTTCTACTTCCTGGACAAAATTAATTCATAGAATCATAGAATCATAGAATCTTAGGGGCTGGAAGGGACCTCGAGAGATCATCTAGTCCAACCCCCCTGCCAGAGCAGGGTCACCTAGGGTACCTCACACAGGAACTCATCCAGGTGGGTTTTGAATGTCTCCAGTGAGGGAGACTCCACAACCTCCCTGGGCAGTCTGTTCCAGTGCTCTGTCACTCTTACAGTAAAAATTTTTTTTCGGATATTCACCTTGAACCTCCTATGCTCCAATTTACACCCATTACCCCTTGTCCTATCACTGGTCATCACTGAGAAAAGCCTAACTCCGTCCCCCTGACACTCACCCCTTACATATTTGTAAACACTGATGAGGTCACCCCTCAGTCTCCTTTTCTCCAAGCTAAAGAGACCCAGCTCCCTCAGCCTTTCCTCATAAGGGAGATGTTCCACTCCCTTAATCATCTTTGTGGCTCTGCGCTGGACTCTTTCAAGCAGTTCCCTGTCCTTCTTGAACTGAGGGGCCCAGAACTGGACACAATACTCCAGATGAGGCCTCACCAATGCAGAATAGAGGGGGAGGAGAAAATTCCCTTAATTTAATTCCCTTAATTTGTGAAGACAGAAGCCAAAGAGGCATCAAATATCTCCAGTTATCTCTCAGGAGACTGCAATAAATCTCTTATTTTACTTTCTATGTTCAGAATCAGCCATTCCTCTCTGTATTTTGAGAGGAGAATCACAGTTTCATGAGATATTTTGAGTAGTTAATTATATAATGAAGCACAGACTAGCTGACAGCTGCAACTGCTGATTATAAATTGACAGAAGAATGGTATCATTTTTGCATACCTCTGCTTGATCTGCTGCTGATTTTTTAACAGCTGATCTAATAAAAGCTAGTGTTTAGGCTCCATACCTATAACAGATGCAAACAGTTCTGGAGTGGAGCTCCCTGCTGCCATGAATGTGGCTCCAGCAACATCTTCACTCAAATGTAGTTTCTGGAAGAAAAGCACAATTTACACTGCATGGTTCTACAGTGGCAAAGAAAGAAGTTCTTCATTTTTTGGCCACAGTGGTATTAAAGGATGAACAGTCACTATAATAAGTAAGTAATTTTATCTGATACTTCAGTGAGTTAGGGTATAAACCTTTTAATTGCAGAAAGTATATTTGCCTTTCCAAACGACAGTGTCTACTTTTGTATTATAGTGACTGTTCATTAATAAAGAATATTTAAAAATGAAAATGGTATCCTACAGAACTTGACAAAACATAAACACAAGCCCTTACTGAACCATTTGATCTATTACCAGACATACAGTTGCAGAAGCTCAAATGTAAGTGTGCCATCTGAATTATTTTTATCTGTTTTAATGTTCAGCAGAACATGAGACCAGAAGCAAAGATTTTATGAAGGATCAGTGACAGCTTAATTGGTACAACCCAACTGGTACACCTTAAATAAGGTATATGCTGAAGACAAAACAACAGAAAAGGGAAAAGATGAGAAAAGGAATAAGTGACTATTTTTCATTGCCTCCCTTACTCTTCTCTTTGTCTTCTATTGAAGCTTAAGTACTTATCTCTGACAGACACTAACAAGAATTTAGTACATAAATCCATAGGAAAATAGTCTTTTTCACCTGCTATAGGAGTTTTTCAGACAATGGTCACACATGTTTTTGTTAAAAAGCAATGGACATGAGATTTCAATTTTGTCCTCAAAACTGAATTAATATCTGGTTTCTACTTTGTATTCATTTTGTAGTAGTTCATCAAAGCCACACCTAACACTACTTTTACGTGCCAAGCATCAATTCTACCCTGTCCAGATAAACTCACTCTAATTAGAATTGTACATGTAAGTTTGCATAATTGCTGAGAAGACTGCATGCCTTGCTGATGAGTGGTAGATGAGCAACAAAATTTGCATTCATTTTTCTATGCATTATTTCTTTTCTCAAGTAACTTTTAAAACTAGGTGTACGATAATAAACCCAAATCATCTGTATCTCATATCCATCTTAGCAACCTGCTTCAAGTATTTGAGTTTTGCCATCTGATTCCATTACATCTTCCATCTTTTGTCTCCTTGAGTGTGGCCAGGGGGACCACTGTGCCCAGACCACAGGTTAATTTTTTGATTGAAAGATCAAATCATCTGAAAAGGTCTGAGGCCAAAATGTTTACAGGAATTAACTCCAAACAGTGATGGTGTAAAATATCTAATTCTATAATATTCTCTAAATAAATTTCCAAATGAAGAGTAAAATTCTTTCACATACCTCACAAATTTTCTCTAAGGATGGAACAAAGAAGTCATCACATACTATTGCCAAAGCATAGAACATATAAAGAGCCTGTAAAGAAAATAAATCCAGGAAATACTTCAGATTTTTCCAGTACATGAAAAGATGAATAAAGGCAATGCTATATTTATTCAGACTAGCAGAAATACATAGCTTCATTTTTTATTTTATTCCAAATAAAAATCCCCCTGTTCATAATTTATGGCATACAAGCAGATTCTTGAATGCAAGATTGAGTTTAGGACAATAATGTTTGCCAGACCCTAGAATGTGAATGGTATCACAGTTTCACAGAATACGGTGCACAACAGACTTCTGTAAGTTCACTTTCTTCCTATAAAGGAAAGTGAAGGGAAGGCTTACAAAGTTGCATACTTATAATCTGTATTTTACATTAATTATTGGACCAAGTAATGAAATAGGAAGTAACATAATTTTTATTAACAATACACAAAAAATAATCACATCTGGAAATAAACAGATCCTGACCATGCCTCATGGCACCAAACTTCTCAGGATTGAACCTGGTCCCCTGCACACATTTGATTCTCCCACTATCTTATGTGGCTTTATGTGTTGTGCTCATGCAGTGGGCCTAACTGTGCCATTGTCCATCAAACACAGCTCTTTTCTACTTTACTTTCCTTGAGCTGGGAACAGAAAACTGGAGCCTGTAGGCCTTACTTGTTTTGTTTTTCTGTAGTAAAATATAAAACTCCACATGACATTTCCTGTATTTCTTCAGGGTTGGTTTGTTGGAGTTTTTTAATTAAAACTGCATGTTTTGCATAGAGGCACAACAGGAAAGAAAGAGAATCAAGTATCTTTCACATCATGCTTGATGTCATCAACAAAGGCATTCCAAACTCTGTTTATACAAGACAAAATACAAACAAATACAAGTCAGTGGAGGAAATCCCTCTGTGATCCATGCATCCAGGATTTTACCTCCAAGAGGATGAATGCAAAGGCATTGCAAATGCAGACTTGCATAATTTTCTTAAATATATTGAAGAATCATAAGATCACTTTTGTTGGAAAAGACCCTTAAAATCATCAAGTGGAACCATTAACCTGACACTATGAAGTCCACCACTACACTGTGTCCCTAAGATGTCACCTTTCCAGCATCTTCACCCATATAGACTAATTAGAAATACTGAAATCAAAGCATTAGAAACATACTGATACATGCAAAACTCTATTTAGTAGGCCACTAAGATAATCAACATCTTATGAGACAAATAAAAGGAAACAAAAAATGAAGTAGAATAAAACTTACAGCAATGATGTGAAGCAGAACTCCTCCTTGCTGCCTCTCTTTATTTGTAAATATATCTTCAGGAAACTCATTAATGGCTAAAAGATAATTTACATTTTAAAAACATTTTTAGCATCTATAAACAGAAGACTGAAAAATAAGGCTGCATCTGTAGAAATTTAAGACCAAACATAAGTGTATCTTCTTTTATCAAAGTATAGCTTCCCACCTCAGAATCTCTTTTACGCTCCATAGAAAAAACAGAGAATTAATACTTAGGTGTTAGTGATCATAATTCCAGTGACTTAAAGCAACCTCCACTCTACTAAGAGTTTCACATTCTTAACACCTTATTTTTACTATTCTCTGCTTGGTCTCTCCACTAAATATATTTCTGAAGTGACAGGAACAGGCAAAAAAACTCATTCTGAAATATCATTCCTATCTTTAAGTGTGCCTTGCCTGACAAGCTACACAATGGTTGTAACTTTCCATCAGGCTCGTAATAGAAAATTTTTTTAGGGCTCTACCATCTTGCAAATAATTTCACAAAGAATGAAATGACTCCAAGTACATTTTTCAAAATGTCTATTATCTAAATCTGGTGAAGGGAGGAATGACACAGAAATGGTAGGTGGACAATAGAAACGTGCAAAAACATGAGTTTGGGGATTGTTTCTAGGTGACAGCGAAGTTCTGATCATTTAAAGGATCTCTGTCCCATGTATAGGCAATAGAGTGAAAAAAAAATTCCAGATGGGGGAGACAAAGACAGCAACTAAAATAAAGGTCTGAAGAAATCTATGAGATAAAAACATCCAGACTGACAAGACAGGCGGTGATAGAGATCTACAGTGCCTCAGAGAGGAGTCTGGGAAGTTTAAGGGTGAATATAATTTCAGCCACTGAAATCTAAATGCATTCAAGTTAAATTATTATTCAGAAAGAGATGTTCCTTTCCACAGTGATTTGTAGATGTAGGTTGACAACAAAATAAGCTCCAGAAAGTTCTTATGAACTTAGCATAATATACAGAAACTCAGGGTAGGAAACAGAGAATATATTATGGTATTTTCCATATTCAAGTCTGTCAGTTTACATGAATGTTTTAGAACACAGTATATATAATATTTGTGCTCTTCCATTTTCAATTTCAATGGCATATTTTCTCAATTTCTCTATATAATTCTACAAACAATAACCATGAACACAGAAACCAATAATTCAAGGTATGGTTGATGTTTTTAGCTACTAAACTTCAAACACTCTAAACCAGCCCAGTGTTCTGAAAATGTTGTGCTGAAACTCTTTGAATATAACAGTTTTTATAATATCTTAGTTATCTGTAATCACCAAACACAGCTGCAGTGAGAGGACCTTCTGCTTTCAAAGACCTGACTGACTTCTCATCTCCTCAGTCTTTAAGTTTTATACAAATACAAAACTGCCTCTTTTCATCTGTACTACACACACCTACATACGTTGCATACATCTGGTTTGACAAAGACTGGATCAATGTCTCCATGCAAAGCTAAAGATCCCATAAGTCTCTTTTTTTTAACTCAGTGCCCACTACCATAAAGGTATTATCTGGAGCTTTGAGCAACCTGGTCTAGTGGAAGGTGCCCCTGCTCACAGCAGGGGGGTTGGAAGTAGATGATCTTCAAGGTCCCTTCCAACCCAAACCATTCTGTGATTCTGTGAATATTTTTTAATTAATGTACTGGCAGCAAGCAGTATTTAAAACCTCATATACATAAATCGTATCTTCCTTCCAAAAGTCAAAGTTACCATTTTATTAAATCTTCATAAATCCTCAAAACTAATATTAGAAAGCCACTACAGTTTTGGTTAAAACTATTAATAGACTACAAAGGAGTTGGCATAAAATAAAAGTTCATCAACAATGACTGATGGCAATTCATGAACTGATTTTCATCAGGCTTTTCAATAAGACCTGTTCTTACTATTGTATTCTAACTGGAACCATTATCAGCACTCAATATGTTGAATACAGCTTTCTCAAGATACAGATGCATCTTTTATTTTAAACCTCAGACCAGAAAAACAATAGAAATCTGTATTCTAAATTTTGCTTAGTTACTCCTGAATGTGACTTCCTACTCCTAGGTAAATGTTCTATTCCTGTTGCTCCTTCTGCAATCACCAGGAAAAATGAAAGCAATAGTGGATATAAACAAACAAATCCATCAGCACAATGATACCAAATTACTCACTGAATTATGGAATATTATTCAAGGGTATAGAGTACTCCAGTGCTTAAAGACCATCAGCACACCAGTGTTTAGCAGGACTAGCTTCAAGACAGTGGATTTGGGTTGCTACAGAACTCTAGGGCCATGATTTACAGAGGTGATTTGTGACCTTAAGGAACAGTCTGAGGAAATAGCAGTGCTCTACAAATTCAAACCACACCATAAATAAAAGATATTTGCCTGTTGAGGCAAACAAATCAAGTACTTCTAAAATCAAGGTCTGTGAACAAAACATCTTCCTTTCTCTTTGTTTTTTCATCACTGTTACACTCAAACAAGGAAAAGGATAATAGAAATATACAAGCTGAAAGAAAACTGGTTGCATTGCAGTTTTGAGATGCTGGGTATTTTAGAGCTGACATTCTTACCATTTTTTTTTACTGGAAGACAGTTCCGGATAATCAACAAATTATTGGTCAAGATATTTCAATCTGCAATGTTTTTATCTACAGATAAACCTTTTAAGATGCCAACAGAACCTTATATGTATGTAATAGCTAAGCAGATTCCCTGTAGTAGTATACTGCTATATATAGTAACATACTAATATAGCAATATATAATTTAGTAAAATACAATAATATAATTTTCCCATGTAGCAACCAGAGAGAAATACCATTCTGGAATAATATCAGAATTCCACCACATTTAAGAACTTCTTGTCAGCTACCCTAGCTGCCAAAAGCAAAATTTCTCAGAGGATTTATGCCCTAGGAAATGAAATCAAGTATGGCAAAAAACTAATCAGCATTCAAAGCATGTGGTTTTAAATTAATTCTGCCCATTAACAATTAATAAACACTAAAATGATTCATAACTAAAAAAGCATTGAAGCAGCCTCTTTTTGGCAGAAGAGAACCATAGCTACAGCTGGTGGCATCTTACACAATATGGTTGTTCTTGCATCACTGGCTAAAATACTATGTCCACATGGCTGTGTTCAGGACCTCTATATTATTCAACTTATTGTATCACATCATAAGTGACCTGGATGTTGGGATCAAGAGCACCCTGATGAAGTTTGCTCACAACACGAAGATGAGTGGAGAGGCTGACACTCCAGAAGGGAGAGCCACCCTCCAGGATGACCTGGACAGACTAGAGGACTGGGCTAGCAGGAACCTTATGAAGTTCAACTGGCTGAAGTGTAAGGTCTTGCCCCTGGGAACACATAACCCCAGAGTGCAGTTGGGTGGAGAGCAGTCCTGTGCAAAGGGACCTGGAGATCTTGGTGGCTAACAGGCTCAACACGAGTGAGCAGTGTGCTGCAGGAGCAAAGAAAACCAACAGGATGCTGGGCTCCATCAACAAGGAGGTCACCAGCAGAGATAAAGAAGCCACCATCCTGCTCTATTCAGCACTTGTCAGACCATACCCAGAGTATTGCATTCAGTTTTGGTCCCGGCTCTACAAAAAGGACGTGGAAAGGCTGGAGAGGGTCCAGAGAAGGGCCACAAGGATGATCAGAGGACTGGAGGACCTGCCATATGAGGAGAGGCTGAGAAAACTGGGTTTGTTCACCCTTGAGAAGGCACTGGGGAGAACTTATTACAGTGTTTCAGTACTTAATGGATGGCTACCGAGAAGACGGAGATTCTCTCTTTACAAGGAATCTCATGAAAAAGACAAGGGATAATGGGCATAAGTTGCTCCTGGGGAGATTCAGATTGGACACAAGAGGTAAATTTTTCACCATGATGATAATCAAACATTGGAATAGTCTCCCAAGGGAAGTGGTAGATTCCCTCACATTGGCCAGTTTTAAGTCTCAGCTTGACAGGGTGATGAGCCACCTCATATAATCCACAGTATTACCTAGAGAGGTTGGACCAGATGATCCTTGAGGTCTCTTCTAACCTGCCACTCTATGATTCTACGACCCCCCCCAGTTTGTCCTCTATCTTTTCCATTCAAGTGTTGCTGTGTGAGAATACACATATTCCAGCAACACACCAAGACAGCAGAGACCAGAGCCCTGGCCCAAGTCCCTAGCAACAAGAACTTGGCCCTGCACATGGAGTACGTGCTTTCACATACTCCGATGCACAGGTTTGTAACCCCCATCACAGGTGGTTTTGCCAGGAGCATCATCCCCCTCATTGCCACCATATAGCAGAGGGAATATGTCTCTGCCCCATAACTTGGTAAAATGGATGTGTCATCTGAGAAGATATTACCTACCCGGTAATGTCATTCAGTTGACTGTAAAATATTTTCCAGTATAACACAAAAAACTGTTAAGTCAGTATAAACTGAAGCTTCAAGAAGCATGAAAAAAAAAATCACTAGCTTTCTAATCTTCCTAATGTGACTGTACTTACTTGAAGTTAAGATTAAACAGGAAATCAGATGACCCGAAGATGTCAAAGGTAAGAGCCAGAAGCTAGAAATGAGCCCAGGCATCTGATCACCAAGCAAAAGCAAACCAGCTTCACTGCAAACCATATTGCTTCATATATAGTTTGGTAATGCAGTATCCATAATAAATAATTACTTGTAATAAGTATCTGCTTGCCTCACAGAGGTACTTTTAAAATAATTAACATTAAGACTGTTTCTCAAACAAAATGCTCCTCTCTCCCCAGAACTCATGGCATGCAATCGTTCTCACATAGAAACACTCCCAAATCTTTAAAAGTCAGCAGAACGAAGCCAGGATCTGGAGCTTGGTAAATAAACTTTCTTCCTTAACAGAACAGCCACCTGCCAGTGAGCTTGAAGGTAAAGTTCACAGTTTTTCAGTATGAGCATTTGCTGTCTTTCTGGCTGTATTATCCAGATAATCATAGGTTTTGTGTAATTGTCATCTATAAACTCTGTATG